TAAAACTTTTGATTTAATTCTTTGATTTGGTTGCCTGTTTAAATATTTACATACATATATCTATACTACTTTATTAAGCATTTTCCCTCAAAGTCTTAAAGTCTTAAATTTGTAAATACCCAAAATACCCCTTTACCTTTAATGCATAAGTTACAAGTTATTATGCGACATAAATCTGGACCCATTAAAAAAGTACAACTCTACCAAGCACAAGTCTTCACCGTTCCACGCCTCCACCTTCACACACGCTCTCCAGCCTCCACGCTCATCACGCCTCCACCTTCACACACCTTCGCACGCTCTCCGGCTGCCCAATGACCGGCTCTGCACGCTCTCCTATCGCACGCTCTCCGGCTCCCAAGAAATCGGTTCATTCTCCCACTCGATTCCTTCTCCCAAAGGCGACGATTCCTTCTCCCAAAACAGCGATTCACGTTTTTGAAACCATCACCATTTATCAAGGTTAATTTTCATTGATATCAATCTCTACTTCTCTTCTAGAACCGTATGATTACAACGTTTTTACCTCTCCAGGAAGAACTTTTGAGCAATTTTTCGACCAGGTTACGATCAATGAGATTATCATCAACAGCTAGAACATGAGGTACGTCTTCTTCGTAATACCCCATATTTAAATTCAAAATCATCTTCTCTAGGAAAGTTTATAGTTTCTCACAAGTTGCTTCACTGGAACCGTCAAAAGCATGATATTGAAGAGAAATTTGTAGTGTTTTGAAATGGATAGGATAAGTCTCTAATGCCTTTTCTGCTGAACTACTGAGGTTTCATACATGCACTCCAACTGTTTGACGAAATGTCTGCAAGAGGTTTGATCAGACATGTGTAAGACTGATGCCGTTTTTGGATGTTGAAGTGAATTGAAATTCAACTTCGAAATTTATTTTTCTCTCTGTAGCAAAATCAGACCTGCATTTTGATTGTTAATGTCAAACATAGAACCTTCTAATCACAAAAGAAACACGGATTTTGATGCAGGTTTTGGTTCTAGCGCACTTCTACTTGTAGTACTTTTTGTAGAAAGAGCTATATTTTCTTGCATATTTTCAAATTCAAAGCAACTAGACTTTTGAGTGGGATAAATTATTTGCCACAGAGTCTCTGTCTTGACCTCTGGTAGGAAATCCTAACACCAACTATTTTGAAGGCTTATAACCAAATTGAACTTCATAGTAAGTGCTATGAGAATAAACACTATTGTTATATTTTGCAACATGTAGAACTTTCTAATGTAAACCTGGAATGGGTGTTGAACAACATTTCTCTTTGATCATGTTCTTATATGGATGTAGCTGAAGATATGTGTTGCTTTACAATGCATAACAGAGAAGTACAATGCAACGCTTAGCAACCAGGGTGCCAAGAGGGCACTATCTTCGGTTGAACATTGTTCTGGCACGAGCCATTCATCATTTCTTATAAAGCGGTCATTCTTACTACACCAGTTCTGTCTAAAGAGCGCCTGCAATAATCCATCAGCATACCATTCCATTTGAATTTCTTAAATGGGGGTCACTTGGTTCCCACAGGTTTTCAAACAACGATTCACGTTCTTGAAACCATCACCTTTTATCAAGGTTAATTCTTCATTGACATCAATCTCTACTTCTCTTCTAGAAACAACTATGAAACCACTCTATTTGATAGGCTTTTGCTTTTGGTAACACAACATCCATCAATTGTGTTGTTGCTTGAATTCCAGTTTTTTTATCTCATCCTATGGTCAAACCTGCATTGATGAATTTCCTAAGCACACTTAAATTTTTATATATACTGTGGAGCTCATCTTATGTTATTATCTAAATCTATTCCAGGCAGAATTCCGGAGTAATGGTCTAAGAAGGCAGCCTGTGGCAATGATTAAAGATCGAGAGTTACTCAAGGACAATGGTGGAGAATCTAATATGTTAGAAGAGAAGATTCAAAGGTTGCCTGCAAGAGRGGAAGGGTGGGATAARAAAATGAAAAGAAAACGTTCAGTAGGCACTGTTTTCACAAGACCTATGGATAGCAATGGAGAGCAAAAAAGGATTGTTCAAAACAAGGTTGTCAGTGAACACGGATTGCAGTCAAATGACACCCACCCTTATAGGTAAAGATCTATTGTAGGCATAAATATGGATTTAGGTTATACAACAGGTTTATTTACCTTGCTCAAATAACAATAAATTATGTTGCACTTTGCATAATAAATAATTGGGTTAGATTTGATTATAGTCAACTCTTGAGCCTATTGGATTTCTTTGTTCGTGGCTTGAAACATTGAATATTTGACATTCCAATTATTTTAACGACTTTGGCTACTGTCTATTTTGTTAGTAAATGAAGTTGTGATGACCTGATGGGTTTGAAGCCATTAATCAAATGACAAAAAAAAATACATGTGTAGATTTCTTCTTTACGGAATTGTCTTAATGCAAATTGACATCAGTACACTACTTTTTGAAATTTGACTTGCTCATTTTGTTGTTGCTTCTAAAGCTTGGTACTTGCAGAATTTTTAGCCATATGATATTGAAATTCTCTCTGTTGGATTGGACTTCATTAATAATTGCACAATTTTGAGCTTTGCTATTTGCATCTATAAGATCTTATACTTGTCCACTCTTAGGTTTGTTACTATTGTCAGAGTAAATCTTTATGTAGTCTACATATCTTTTTTTTTAATTCAAATTTTTTAATCATAATTTAATTTAAGTTCATCGTTAAATCTTCTATAATAAAACCAGTAAAACTTTAAAATCGTTAAAATTCACGGCTCCCGCCGCATTGCGCGGGTACACAACTAGTGTATTTGAAAACTTGTAGGTTTGATGCACAATTATATTAACTGATATGAATGATAACATAAGATGAAGAGTGCAAATGATACAATGTATGCTGAATTGTTCTAACTTATTTTCTTGGTTTACATATACTAATACTGTTGATATAATATATACACACATTGGGTAGATAATAAGATAAACCAGGGGTTGTGTCGTTGTCTTACCTTTGCTATGTTTCTTTGCACCTNTTATTTTTAGAATTAGGACTATCTTCCTTTCTAGTCGCAAGTTCTTCACTTTCAAACTACTTTTTTTAAGCTCTTCACATGTTTGCATACATCCCACCCCACAACTCCATATCTGGCTGGGATATACTGGATTCTTTTCATGGTTTATCATATACACACATATTCCATTTACCTTCTGCTCTCTTCATGGTCTCTGCATCCCCCTGCATGAGTGGATGAACWMGTGGACTTTTCTGCAYTTGCTTGWATTTCCTTWTTTTACCCATTGATGCATCTAAAAGAGTACACGATTTTTAGAGTCCTTGCAGGCTTGCAGCTGTTTTTTACCTGCTGTATAAATTGGTGCTTTCCTTCATTTATTTTTATTTCTTATTTATTTTCAGGTCATTAGGCATTTTGATGGATGCAAGGCTGACCTAGTTGTCTGTGATGGTGCTCCTGATGGTAAGATYRTTTATATGTTTTTGCRCATTTGTTGTCGTAAATTTCCCACAAGTTCTCCCCTTYGACATGTCTTCTTCATTGTACTTCGAACTTTGGAATGCAGTAACTGGACTACATGACATGGATGAATTTGTTCAATCACAATTGATATTGGCGGTAATCGTTTCAAATCCATACTTCATATTAGATAAGATTAATCTTATGTAGTGAAAAGCAAGTTTTTGAATAGAATTTGTTTCTTTGATGCCATTATGCATTCCAAACACCAAATATGCTTTTATCTTGCTTATAATCTAACATTGCTACCTAGGTAGGAGGATAGATAGAATTGTATCCAATCTTAAGTCTTGGCAGATGATAACGAGTATGCAAGATTTTGAAAGATGAAAATGTGAGGCGCTGTGTTCTCCCTTGTTGATCTTGAAGGTTGGTTTTTTGGGGGTAGGGTTGGACGTGCATGAGGGAGGAGAGAAAGTGTGACCGGGAGGAGAGGAGAGGAAGCGTTAGGGAGGGAAGAATATACAGAATGGTGTGTGAGAGAGTAGGAGGAGAGGAACTGTGAGGGAGGAGAGGAGAGAAAGAGACCGTTTTAGGGTTTCCTTTACAAAATAAAGAGTAGAATACAGCCCATACTCCTCATTATGTCCCAACCGATTTTCACGCCTCAGTACGCCTCAATGAATGCCTCTTCCATGGGAAGTGTACGTCTCAATTCCACCAGCAGAGGCGCAGCCTCAGATGCGATTTTGGATCGCCTCGTCTCGAGGCATACGCCTTGACCTTTTAAAACCATATGTACTTGATAGGGGGTTTAAAATATAATAATATTCTGGACTTTGAACAGATTCAACCACCTATTACATGTGGTTTTGTTGTTTGTCGGTAGACATTGTCTTCAGGAGAAGTGCAATTTAAAACTTGAAGGTAGGGAAGATAATATCAAGGTGAATGTTAGGGATTAGTAGAGTTAGTGTAGATTCTTCTTGTGCTAAAATAACGATGAAATTGTGATTATTTTTATGTTGCAATGATAATAACAAATACTTAAGCTTGCTAGAGGTACCATCCTCTTTTYAGAAAAATCAAAATACCTTTTTCACCTGTTTCTCATCTAATTGAATACGCATAGCCCAGCTAATTTTACTTATGCTTTTTGGTTATCTTTTGTTGTAAAGTATGTGAATTGAACAAAAATTTTGCATGTAAAAAGTAATCTGGCTACTGCAGTCACTTATTGAACTTGAACAATTTGATGTTGTCATATTTGTGGACTTCTGGAGTTCATTCAATGTTAATGCTATTTGAGAAAACTTCATTTTCAGGGGTTAACTATTGTAACTCACATACTCAAGAATGGTGGAAAATTTATTGCAAAGATCTTCAGGGGGAAGGACACAAGCCTCCTATATTGCCAGGTCCGAAATTGTGCTTATGACTTCCAGCTAGGAGA